CACACCATGTTCTCACACACCATATTCTCACACCCACACCCTGTCCTCACACTCACACCGTGTTCTCACACCCACACTCTGTCCTCACACCCACACCGTGTTCTCCTCACACTCACTCGTACCCTGCTCTCCTCAGACAGACCTGTGTCCTTCTCACACCCGCACCATGTTCTTCTCACACCACGTTCTTCTCACACTCACTTGTGCTCTCTTCATACTTACAGTGTGCTCTCCTCATATTCACACCAGGCTCTTCTCACACTCACACAATGCTCTCAACTTAAGGGACTCAAGTTTTGTGTTTTAACTCCTACATTGACTTCACCACCATGATCTACACTTTCCCATTCTTCCCTTTTGATGACAGAAAGGAGAGCAAGGCAGGATTGGAGCTCTGGAGCTTGTCAGACCCTCTAGAGACTGGTGACCCCTGGCTTTCACATCCTCTCACCTGTGACTCGTCAGACCCTCTACACTCTGATAACTCCTGATTTCCACCTCCTTTCACCTGGGGCTTGTCGGACAACCTCCCCCCCCTTGGTGATCCTTGGCTCCCATCTTCTGTCACCCTCTCCTTGCAACACTAACCTCACTCAGCATGGCTGTCTATCAAGATCTACACCCTACAGATAGGACAAAAACTCTGTAACCTGAGTGTGTACTCTCCCTCCCCCAAAAACTCACGCTTTCAGCGTATTTATGTAGAAAGAGATAGTCAGGCTTGCTGATGATTTCATTTCTTCTTTTAAAAAAGCCTCTCCCATTAATTCATTACATACCTGTAATAATATAGAACAGAATGTTAATTTGGAAAAACAAACAATTATGTATGGATGCATATTTTTATCTAGCTATTGTTTAACTATTTTTAATCATTTAAAGTGGGTTTTTGCTATTGCAAATAATGCAGCAATAAACATGGCTAAACATATAACTGTTTGGGTGGCAGCTCTGGTTTCTTTAGGATATATTTCCAATAGTGGAATTGCTGGGTTAAATGGTATTTCTATTTCCAACTTTCTGAGAAAGTGCCATACTGCGTTCCATGGTGGTGTACCATTTTACACTCCCCCCAGCAGTGAATAAGGGTTCCAATCTCTCCACAACCTCAATTATCCATCAACAAACGAATGGCTAGAAAAACTACTGTATATTCACACAATGTTAATACTACATAGCAATGAAAAACAAGGAACAAATAAAACATTACACAACATGGGTGACCCTAATGCTGAGTGAAATATCTCAGTCACAGAATGACAAATATTGCATAACATCACTGTTATGAAACAGAACTGACATGGGGTTTGGGGGTAAACTGATAAAAAGAGGGGGAAAATAATAAACATTGCATTGGAATAGATGAAGGAAAGAACTGTTTAAAAGGAATATATGATTAAGCATTATTTGTATGGCAACTGTCCAAAGTAAGAGGTGCACAGCAAAGGAACTGGGGAGGAGTGGGAGGAAGGATATTATGTAACAATGAATGAATACTTTTTTAAGTGAACTTGGGGGTAGGGAGGAAAATGTGCAACAATGAATGAATAAAAAGCCAACTTTTCTGTAAACTTTGGTTAAAATAATAAAAAACAAAGTAGTATTTTTAATTAACAATTATCACTATGTGTTACATATTTTCAGATATAACATATGTTGATTCTAAAAACCACAAAAATTATTAGAGTATAAATATTTTTAAAACACATTCTTATAGTAGTTACTTGTGTTTCTATAAATTTTTCATTCATCTTTTTCTCATTCTTCAATGCAGTTGCAGTGATAGTAGTCAAAGCATAACAATGAAGGAAGATGTCATTTTCTTTTCAAAGGGCCATGGTTATGTGTGCCCTCACATAGTACTAATGTGAATTTCTCTGAGATAGGGTCTGTATTTGCACATGTAGGCATGCTTTATATACATACGTATGTACTTCTCTCATTGTTGTGGTCAAAACCAACTAATAACTGACTCTCCAGTGAGTTTTCAGAGACGGTATGTCCCAGAGGAGAGGACTGTCCACTGCTTCCCCCTCTGATAGACTAGACCTGCGAGAGGTGAGGTCTTGAGGTCAGCACCCAGCTTCCTACAGTCCACACCACTAGCTCCATGTGTGGACTTAGATCTCTCAACTGTGGAACTTACTTGCTGCTTCTGTACATGGTTTTCTGGGAAATTACACATAAGAACATCAATTGTTATATGCACATTTTAAAGATATGTCATGTTACCATAGTTGAGAATATTTGGCGGTATTTCTGTGGCACATTAGCTTTTATGAACGGTGCTGCAGTAGAACAAAACTTTGAGGCTTCCTCATTTTTTCCAGCATCCAGATAGCACTCAAGGAGTTCCCTGCAGAATGTAAAATTAACAGGCATTAAACTTTGCTTAAAAGTGTATATAAACTTCTTGGTTTTTTATATGCTGTCAAATTGCCTGTGACCCATAGCAACCCTATGTGCAATAGCTCTGAAGCCTGCCCTGTCCTGAGCCAGTCTCACTGCATCTGACACACCTACCCTATTGCCCCAGTTACCATATCAGTCCATCTCATCCAGGGTCTTCCTCTCCTGCGCTGTCCCTCCACCATTCTGATCTCTCCTGACTGTGTACCCAAAGGATGTGAGTTGGAGCTTCAAAATGTCTAGCTTCCAAGGAGAGACTTGGTTTCACCTTTCACCCTCTCCAAGACAGATGTGTTTGTTTTCTTGGCAGTCTCTGGTATGTTCAAGACTCCTCTCCAGCATCACAACTTAAAGGAATCAATTCTTCTTCTGTCATCTTTGGTCACTGTCCAGCTCTCTAATGCAAAGCAAGTCATTGCAAAGACAATGGCCTGGATCAGACACACCTTAGTCTGTAGACTGATATTGCTGCTTTTCAGTATTCTGGAGAAGTCTCTGACAGCAGATTTTCATAGTGCAATTAGTCTTTTGATTTCCTGACTGTTGGTTTTAAGAGTGTTGATTGTGGAGCTGAGCAAGCTGTAATTGCTAACAACTTCAATCTCTTCTCCATCTATCGTGGTGCTGCCAACTGGCCCAGTGGTGAGAATATTTGTCTTCTTGATGTTGGGCTTCAAACCATATTTAAAACTAGTCTTAACTTTCTGCAGCAAGTGCTTCAGGTCTTCTTCAGTTTCAGTAAGAAAGGTTAAATCATCTGCATAATGCAGGTTGTTGATGAGTCTTCCTCCAATCCTGATGCCACATTCCTCCTCACAAAGCCCAGCCTCCTGAATTATCTGTCCTGTCTACAGACTGAAAAGGTATGGAGACAGGACACATCCCTGAAGCACCCCTTTCCTGATTTTGATCCACACAGTATTTTTCTGCTCTGTTATGATGACTGCTTCCTGATCTGAGTATAGGTTTTGCATGAGTATAATCAAATGTTCTGGGATTCCCATTTTCCTCAAGATTAGCCACAATTTGTTGTGATCCACACAGTCAAATGCTTTTGTATCATCAGTAAAACACAGACAGACATTCCTGTGGTACTGTCTACTTTCAGCCAAGATCCATCTGACATTAGCAGTAATGTCACAAGTGCCATGACCTTTCTAAACCCAGCTTGTATTCCTGGTAGTTCTCTGTTGATGGACTGCTCCAGTAGTTTTTAATTAATCTTCAGCAGGACTTTGTTTGTGTGTGATATCAGTGATATTGTTCGATAATTTCCACACTACGCCGGGTCACGTTTTTTTGGAATGGGAATAAATGTGGATCTCCTTCCAGTCAGTTGGCCAGGTGGATTTTCTAGGCAAAATCTGGTGAACACGTCCAGGGCAGCGTCTGTTTGTTGAAATATGTCAATTGTTATTCCATCAATTCCTGGGGCCTTATTCCCCCCCCCCAAGTCCTTCAGAGCAGCCTATACTTCATCTTTCATCACCACTGATTTTTGACCATATGCTGTTTCTTTAAATTCTTCTGTATCAGCCATTTCTTTTTGGTACAGTGACTGTATATTCCTTCCATCTTCTTTTAATGCTTCCTGACTTATTCAATATTCTGCCCACAGCATCTTTAAGTATTGCACCTCCTGGCTTGAATTTTTTTTTCTTTAGTTCCTTCAGCTTATGGTGCAACCCCTGTGGAAAGCAGTATGGCGCTTTCTCAAAAAGTTGCAAATAGAGATACCATTTGACCCCGCAATACCACTACTGGGAATATATCCCAAAGAGACCTTAACTGACATCCAAGCAGATATATGCACACCCATGTTTATTGCAGCTTTGTTCACAATAGCAAGGAGTTGGAAACAACCTAAGTGCCCATCAACAAACGAATGGCTAGAGAAGCTGTGGTATATTCGCACAATGGAATACTATGCTGCATTAAAAAACAAGGAACTCATGCAATATTACTCAAAATGGTTGACTCTGGAGAACATTATGCTGAGTGAAATGTCCTAGTCACAAAGGGACAAATATTGCATGGTGCCACTGTTGTAGAATGGGACTGTCCTTGGGGTTGGGGAGAGACTGAGTAAGATGGGTTCAATAATGTATGCTGCTCTGAAACAGAGAAGGGAGAAAACTGTTTAAAAGAGATATGTGGTTAGGTATTTCGGTCATGACAGGAGTCTAGAGCGATGGCTACATGGTGGAGTGGACCCGGGGGAGGGTTTGTAAAATAATGAAAGAATCTTTTCTTTTACTTTTCCAAGAGGGTAATGTCTGGTGGGGGGGAGCCTTGGGAGGGGACAAATCTACAACAATGAATGAATGGAAATCCAAAGCCTCTGTAAATTTTAACTGAAATTAATAACAAACTTAAATTAAAAAAAAGAATTAAGTTAGAGTAAGGATGGCAATGGAACCACCTTACCTCTGTAACTTGATTTGTGCCACTTTTTGACTCATGGACTTTTAACTTGTTAGTTAAATTTGTATCTTCTAGGCTGCAACACTTCCATGATACATCTTCAAGGATATGAACATGTACGGCTAAGCACAATTGATAACAGTGCATCTAAATTCCAAAATCAATCTCCATAATAGTCTATGTGTTTCCTACTGCCAAGGGGGCCCTTTAGAGTAGTGAGAGAAGACCTTCACCCTGAAACCCACAGCGTCCCTTTTCAGCAGGAAGTAGCTAAGAGAATACGCCATCCCCTTTTCCTTATGAATCAGGATGAAGTCTCTCTCAGGGAGGAGTGATAGGGAATGGCAAGGGACACACTGACAAAGGAGATTAATCAGAACTGGCTTTGACAAGCACTGTAGCAATTGGACAATTAAAACAGACATTGGGAAAAAACAAACAAACAAAAAAAACAGACATGGAGGGGGAAGAAGAACGAACTGGGGATGAGGGTGGAGAAAACAGTGCAACAATGAATGAATGAAAACCCAAAATCTCTGTAAATGTTCATTAAAATGAATAAAATTTAAAAAAAAAAGAAATGTCAAGCGAGTTTGGCCCTTTTGATTTTTACTCCAGCTCCTTGCACATTTCATTATAATACTTTGCTTTGTTTTCCTGAGCTGCCCTTTGACATTTTCCATTCAGCTTTTTTTAAAAAAAATTATTATTATTAATTTTAATGAAAATTTACAGGCTTTGTATTTCCATTCATTCATTGTTGCAGTTTTCTCCCTGCCCACCCCTCCCTGCTCCATTCAGCTTCTTATTGATGCACAGGAATCAAAATTTGACCTTGAGTCTACCCACCCCCAAATTTAAAAACTAACTCTCAAACGGCCCTGAGGCCTTGAGCACTAATGAGTGAAGACCAGATGAGCTGTGGGAGGATATAAAGAATACCATCCGTGAATAATGCAAGAGGTTATTAGTAAGACGGAGGAGGAAGAAAAGCCCAAAATAATGTCAGAAGAAGAATGGAAATAAATTGACATGAAAAATGGGGGAAAGATTTAAGATATCACGGATTTCATTTTACTTGAATCCACAATCAACACACATGGAAAGTGGCAGTCAAGAAAGCAGAAGATGTACTTACTGCCTTGGCGAACCTGCTGTCAAGAGCTGTCAGAGTGCGAAAGAGCAAGGATTGTCCCCTAGAGACCAAAGTGTGCCCGGCCTCAGCCATGGCATTCTCAACTGCTTCAGTTTCTCACATAAAACACAAAGCCCACTAACTACAAAATAAAGAATTTAGGCTATCAAAATTTAATTTTTTTTAAATAATAAAAATTATAAACCTTAGAGTGGGAGAAAATGTTCCTGATACATTTATCTGTCAGAGGACTTTACCAACAATATACAAATAATATTGCCAATTATCACAAGAGCAAAGAACTCAGTAAAATCCAGGTCAAAGACTTGTGGAGACACTTCATAAAACCTTCATCCACAAAAAGATACCACTTAATGACTATTAAAATAACCAAGATAAAAAAAGATGAGCCTATGAAATGTTGACAAAGTTGTGAACTCCTAAAATCCTCATACCTTGCTGGTGGAAGTGTAAAATTATACAACTCTCTGAAGATCACTGGTCTGTTTCATAAATCCATAAATATATCCACCCTATGATCCAGCAATTCTACTTCTGGATATCTACTCAAGAAAAATAATGACATATGCTCATTTAAAAATCAAAACCTAGATATTCTAAAAAACCCAACCCTATATATTTTTAGCAATCTTATTCATAATTATTTCAAAATGCAAATAGCCCAACTGTCTTTCCACAGGTGAATGAATCCACAAGCTGTGATATATCACACAGGGACACAACACTACCTTGCAATGAATATAAAGGAAATACAGACAATAATATGGTTGAATCTCAAATGGATTATGTAGACTAAGAGTTGTTGTTGTTGTAGTTGTTGTTGTTGTTATGTACTGGTGAGTCACCTGCAACTCGTAGCGACCCTATGTACGACAGCTCTGAAGCCTGCTCTGTCTTGTGTCAGTCTGTCTCCTACACATCTACTTCCATTACTCCAACTACTCTCCTGTGCTGTCCCTCTGCCCTTTCAAGCATGATGTCCCTCTCCACGGACTGATCCCTCCTGGCCACATGCATAAAGTATGTGAGATGGAGCTTCAAAATCCTTGCCTCCAAGGAGAAATCTGGTTTCACCCTTTCCAAGACAGACCTGTTTATTTCCTTGACCATTCTTGATATGTTCAATACTCTTCTCCAGCACAACTCAAGGGTATCAATTCTTCACCTGTCATCCTTAGTCACTGTCAAGCTCTTTGATGCATAGCAAGCATCTGAGAAGATCATGGCTTGGATCAGGTGCACCTTAATCTCTACACTGACATCATTGCTCTTCAGCACTCTCGTCACTGACAACAGGTTTTCCTAACGGAATTTATCTTTTCATTTCCTGACAGCTCATGCTGAGAACTGATTGTGAATTCTAGCAAGCTGATATTGTTAACAATCTCTGCTCCATTTATCATGGTGCTGCCAATTGGCTCAGAAGTGAAAATATTTGTCTTTTTGATGTTGAGTTTCAATCCATATTGAAGACTGTAGTCTTGACCTTCTGCAGCAAAAGTTTCAGGTGTCCTTCAGTTTTAGCAAGCAAGGTTGTGTCATCTGCATAACGCAGGTTGTTGATGAGTCTTCCTCTAATCCTGATGCCGCACTCCTCCTTATAAAGTTCAGCTTCCAAAATCATTGCACTAATATCACATGTAAGCAAAATCCTGTTGAAGATTATCAAAAAATGACTGGAACAGTATTTTAACATAGAACTTCCAGAAATACAAGCAGGGTTTAGGGGAGGCCATGGCACTAGAGACATAATAACCAATGCTACATAGATCTTGGCTGAAAGCAGAGAATTGTTGTTGTTGTCGTTAAGTGCCATTGAATTATAGATGAGTCATAGCAACTACCCTAAGAATGAAAGACTTGAACACTTGTATAACTTTCATCATTTCTCCAAGTTCATAGAGTTTCCGGAGGCTAGCTATTTCGGAAGTGGATGCTACTCCTGTTTCCAAGTTTGTTTTAATCGGGTAACTCCACCAAACACTGTCCACCATGGGTTACCATTATCACATTTGACACATCAGTGTCACAGTGTTTAGCATCACAGCAACCACGTGTTACCTCTGTACAGCAAATGGACAGACCAGTGCTATAATGTTTGACCAAAAACAATTAAAACCAGGCCTGAGGGCCGCAGATTAAAGTCACCTACCTTTGGCTTGGAAAGCACAGAATACCACAGGAATCTCTGTGTTTCATTGATAATACAAAGGCATTTGACTGTGTGGATCAACAAATTGTGGCCAACCTTGAGGTGAATGGGAATCCCAGAACACTTGATTGTGCTCATACAAAACCTACGCTCAGATCAGAGCTCAGAAGGGAGCAAGGTAACACTGCACAGTTCAAAATCAGGAAATGAATGTGTCAGGGATGTGTCCTGTTTCCATACCTTTTTTCAGACTAAGAAAGTCAGACACAAAAGAGACTAGACTATAAGCCTCTACTTACATGGAAACTCTAAAACAGACCAAACTTTGCAATGAGAGAAATGAGGAAAAGGTGAAATGGGGTTAGGGAGGAATTAACTCACTGTGCCCTGGAGAACTCTGGGTGAAGGAGATAGCCACACAATGTCTGACTTTTGTCTGAATCAGGGGTTGAATCTCTAAGGGTGGGAATTTTTAGGAAATAATTACACCTCAACTAAGATAACATTTTCAACATCTGGGAGATCGAAGCATCTAGACACATATAGACTCATGAACTTGTCCTGATTTGCTTTCAGTGACTGGGGGACACGTGGAACACCCTCCTCTTCCCAGCACTGACATGGGGGTGGGTGGGAAGTGTTGTTACAATGCAGGGCTGCAATTAATGTCATTGGGCAAGACAGCGGAGGCATTATCAATCTCTGCCATAAACCTCACAGAAATGACAAGTTTAAAATTTAAAAAGGCTTGACTGTGGCGAGGTGGGCACCCTTGTGGACAGAGGGGCGAGGCTCACAGCATCAGCTCGGCATGCCAGTCCTTGTCCTCCTCCTTGGTCTGATTCAGCACGCTGACAATCTGCGAGAGGCTAGAGATGAGGTGGTGGCGGTGTCCAGGCTTAAGAAACGGCCTCACCATTTGCCAGTAGAGGATGGACGCATTATAAACCAGAAAGTAGTACCTAAAGGAGAGAGGAGGACTCGAGGTCAAGGCCAGGGCCCTGCCTAGGAGTTTCTTCCAGGAGTCTCTGCCCTCTGTTGCCACCAGTCCAGCTGTGACTCCAGCTCTCCTCCAAGAGGTCATCACCAGCCAGTGGCTCTGACTCTGCCCTGTCAAGTCATGGTGGCTTGGCCTCTAGAGTACCTCATTCTGCAGTCACTCCATGAGCTGAACCATGGTAACTGACCAAGCCCAGTACTTCCAGAATGAACCAAGGAATTTGGCTCCCCAGAAGCATGTGGACAATGACAGGGAAGCAGGGGCATTCCAGGTGGCTAACATATGTGTTGTGATCGGAGCAAAGACCAGATGTCAGTCTGGAAGGGGAGGAGAGGAGGGTAGGTGATGGAGGAGGGAGAGGGCATGAGGGGGCACAGTCATCCCCTGTCCCCAGAGTGCAAAGGGGGTGCTAGAGAAGACACATGAGGGGACTACCTCCCAGCAGTGTGGGAGCCACTGAAGTGTCCCAGCTAGGAAGCATCCTCTTCCTGACCATCAAATACTCAGGACCCAAGGTGCAGGTCAGCACATGGCTATCAGGAGGGCAGGGCTTCCCACGAGCTGTGCTGTGACTCATCAGGCGAGGTTCTCCCCCAGTGCTCCCCAGGGCCATACAGTATGTGGTGTGGTACCAGCCTGGACACTGTCGGTGTGCTCGTGTCCCCATGCCTGGGGGTGTCAAGCGTCCTGCTCATGACTGCTACATCTCCTGGGCCAGCTGACTTGTCCGAGGGAGAGCTACTTCTCCCACCAAGCTTCTGGGTCCAGCCCTGCCCTCTTGGCTGGTCCTTGCTTCTGTCCCACTGCCCCACCCAGGCCAGTCTATGCCTCTGATCCCTGAGAACCTCTTCCAGCCTCGTCCTCCTTCAGCTGGGAACTCCTCCAGTTCCCCAGAAGCACTCCAAGCCCTCTGTAGACCCCAGGGGCCTGAAGCCAGATTACCAATGACCTCTCCCCACGCTGGAGACCCAGGGTTCAATCTGTTTCCTCAGGTCTTTTTGCTCCTAGACCCTCAAGCAGAGTCAGCTTCCCATATTCTACCCCGGGAGGCAGTGGTGCCAGTTTGGTGCCAGAAGCAGCCAGAGGCAGACAAAATTGACCCACACAGCTGACAGCAGAGCGGATGAACAAAACCAGGCTCTGTTTTGGTCTTCTTTAAACACAGTGTACCAGTGTACTAGTTAAATGTGTTGTATTGATGCCTGTTTTGTGTGTGAGCTTAAGAGCTTCAATCACAGTGCTCGGTTTGGTGAGGAGTGGAAACTGCCCGAGCTGGCCGCTCACTGCCACTGCAGAGACAGAAGGCCGGCCTTGGGAGTGGGGGTGGTGAGACTTACTCTTCAGGACTTGGGACATGTTCTCAGAAGGGGTCCGTCCCTGGAGAAGGACATCAGGCTTGGTGATGTGGAGAGTTTGAGAAAAAGAGGAAGACCCTCAAAGAGATGGATTGATGAGTGACTGGCCAGGAGGACACAGGACAGGCCGGGTGTGTTCTGCTGACTCAGGTCACTGTTAGTTGAAACGACTTGATGTTGTGGTTAGATGCTGTCAGTCAACCACGCTCGTAGTGAGCCTGTCGACAGCAGATGGGAGTCCTGTCCTGTCCCGAGCCATCCTCACGACCTCCACCATGTTCAAGGTGCAGCTGCTGGGGAGAGTCTTCCTTTCTTCCACTGACCTTTCCCAGATGAAGTCTTTTTCCAAGGACTGTCCCTTCTTGTGTGAGATGGAGCGTCACCACTCCTCCCTCTGAAGAGCAGGACCGTGGTGTGTTCCCTCAGAGGGATATTTGTTCTCTGGAGAGTTATTTTGGAATTCCATAGTCTGTTCAACACTCTTCACCAAGAGCAGAATCCAAAGGAAATTATCCTTATTTGATCATCCCTATTTCTTCTCCAACTTTCACATACATATGAAGCAACTGGAAACCCCACGCTTGCGTCAGGTGCACCTGAGTCCTCAGACACTCTTGCTCGTTAACACTTCTGAGAGGTCTTGGACATGAGATTTACTCAATAAGCCTTTTGATTTGTTCACTTCTGCTCCCACGGGTGTTGACTGTGGCTACTCGATGGCGTGTAACACCAACGGGCAGAACAGAGAAGTGAAGGGATGTCAACCGAGGGAACCCAGGCCTGGCCACTCTGACAGTGTCCAGCTGTCCTGGGGACTTGTTACCAGGGACCAGTAACCAAAGCAGATGCAGACCCCCATGAAAATCCTGTGGAAGGAGAAGAGGGTACAATGCTAACAGTGTCTGTTGTGACCAGAGTACACATGGTACAGAGACAGGAGGCCAAGCACAGAGGGTAGACCAGAGAGATGCAGCTAGGAGAAAGGACCACAACCCAGGGCAGAGCTGGTGCAAATCCTACAGCATTGGACACTGGATCAGACTGACCTGGGCTCTCCTTTGGCGAAGTTTATAGCCTTCATGTACTGAGTCACGCAGTTCTCAAACTCCACCTAAACAGAATCAAGAACCCATTACACTGGCTCGAGCACTCAGCACTGTAGGCAGCCAGACCCCAAGCCTGGGGACAGTTCACCAATGGACACCCTGAGCAGGGACGCCTCAGAGCTTTTACCCACTTTACAGGCGGCTAGAAGAAAGGGATTTGGAATATAACCCTGACAGTGTAGATCATGCTCTTCTCTTTTTTTTTTTTTTAACTGTTTAGTGTGATTTGAGTGAAGGTTACAGAGCAAATTGATAAACTGGTTTCCAATTCAACAGTTCAAACACATTTAATATTTGTCTCTACAATGTAATGCCTTCAAGATGGGTTGTTGTTGATTGCTGACAAGTGAAGCAAGATTCATAGTGACACTATGAAAAAAAGACCTGAAGCTTTTCTATAACTATCATTGTTTCTCAAAGTTCATGGTTTCCAGAGGCATTTTGTTTAGGAAGTGGATGCCACTCCTGTTTCCAATCAATATAGGCAACACCTCAAGAAAACAAAAATCCTCACCAATGGACCAATACACAACCTTGTGCTTGGATCTACAGTCAACATGCATGGTAGAAGCAGTCAAGACATCAAAAGACATGTTGCCCTGGTCAAATCTGTCAAGGATCTCTTCAAAGTGTTAGCAAGCAAGGATTTAAGCTTAAAGACTAGGGTGCACCTGATCCAAGACATGGTATTTTCAAATGCTTCCTATGCATCTGAAAGCTGGATGATGAATAAAGACAGAAGAACTGATGTCTTTGAGTTCTGAGGTTGGCAGACAATATTGAATGTATCATGGATCACCAAAAGAACAAACAAATGTGTTTTGGAGGAAGTACAACCAGAGTGCTCTGTAGAGGAAGGACAGTGAACATTTGTGTCTTGCTTAGGGCATGTCCTCAGGGGAAACCAATCCTTGGAGAGAGACATCATTCTCTAACCCTAACCCTAACATAAGAGAGAAAGACCCTCAAAGCGCCTACCACAGGGCTGTGAGGATGGGGACGGTGCAGGACCAGGCGAGGGTCAGATCTTTGGTCATAGGGTTGACCTGATGGCACCAAACAACAACAGTAACATAACGCACACTTCCCACTCCATCGTGTCTTCTTTTCCCACGTATCCTTTCTGATCGCTTTCTGTCTCGTGCGCACCAACCCCAGCCCCGGGCAGCCCCCAGCCCCGGGCAGCCCCCCAGCCCCGGGCAGCCTGTACTTCTGTCTGACAGACCAGCGAAGGCTTACCCTTCAGTCACCAGCAATGTTATGACTACATGTCAGCTCACACAATTCAATCTGATTCTACGGCTGCATCAGAACATAATGACTACATATTCAGCAAGAAGATGGGGAGAAGGAAGTCGGGGTGCGGGTGCTGGCTCACCAGGTTCTCAGAGGACCGTGGGGCACATAGCTGCGCGCGACACAGGTGTGCCCGGCCCAGAAACTGGGTGACAGGGCCTTTGACCTTGAAGTACATCTGGATGCAGTCTTCACTCACGTCCAGGAGTCCCATCTGGAAGGGAAGCCTGGGGTCACCGCGCCAGCTGGGCCCGGGCTAGGGGTGGCCTCCCATCTCGCTCACCAACCAGCCCCTGGCCCAGCACCGCCCCCTTCCCACCCCGACCGGGCGTGGCCGTGGCGCAGACTGGCCTTGAGCGCCTGCTCCGCGCACAGTACGAGCAGGTCGGGACTGAAGCTTTCGCAGGGGTCAAACTCGGATTTCCCGAGGTGGGCGGATTTAATCAGCTCGTAGGCTTTCTTCAATGAGGCAGTGTCTGAGGACAGTGGGGCGAGGGGCGGGCAGGCGAGCGGTGAGCCGGCCGGCAGCCCCCTCACCGAGGGCGGCCCCCTCAGGCCCATCAGGAGGAGGCAGGGCCGGCGGGAGGTCCTGCCGCCCTAAATCTGACGTCCCCCCCCCCACCGCAGGCCGCCCAGAGGCTTGACCGGTCCCCGCAGGCGCCGGGGCGCAGACACCTGGGGATGCTGAGTGTGCCCCCACCGCGCCAGGCGGATCCCACAGTTTTTAATTTGTGCCACGTCCAGATCCCGGCAGGACCTCCAGGGCGCACGGATTAGCGGGAGTAGGGGTCCCGGGGCGGGGTATGGGGCGGGTCCCGCGTCCACCTTGCTGGCTCTCGGCGTGGGCCAGCTGCTGCGTGATGACCAGGTCCATGGTGGTGGCGCCCGAGGTTTCGAGTCCCCAGAGCACCGCCGACGACAGTTGGTCACTTTCAAAAGTCACTGGGACCAGCGGTTGCCTGGCGATGGGAGGGACGCGGCCGCGGGCTACGGGTCGGCGGCAGGGCCACAGGCTTGACCAGAGTCGGACTGGCTGCGCGGGGTGGGGGTGGGAAGGAGGCGGGGTCGCTGGCCTGCGGGCCGGCCAGGTCCTGAGGCCGGGAGGGTGGAGACAGCCCGGGAGACCTGGGGCCAAGGGAGGCCTTAAGTGGGGAGCGCGCGGGAAGGGCCCTCCCAGGGCATGAACGCTTCCTGCCCAGCTGCTCCGTGGCCTTCGGGGCACCGGGCGAGGGTCTCAGAGGTTTAGGTCCCGCGTCTGTAGGGCCAGGCCCTGTGTCCAGTGCAGCGCTGGCCTGTGACTGTGATGCTGGACACTGAGCACGTGCTCGGTGCTCAGATACCACAGTGTCCACCGGGGACAGGTTCCAGTGGAGCTTTCACACCGAGACACACCCGGACGGCCTCGTGAGTCATGCCGACAATTAGCCAATTAATCCCCTTGTGGACCAAGGGGGGCGGTGTGACCAGGACATCATGTCCGGTGAAGCAGAGGCCCAGGGCGGTGGGAGATAAGCTGAGGTGGGTCCGCAGAGAAGCTGCAAGGGGGGCCGGCGTGGCGTGGGGCCGGCGTGGCGTGGGGCCGGCGTGGCGTGGGGCCGGCGTGGCGTGGG